AGCCTCATGAAAGAGTTCAAAAACAGAGATGGTGACTATTTTGACTATTTTCTGACATCTTATTGGCTAAACAATCAGAATTCAGCTTCACTTTTGCATTGCCAAGGGAGGCCTGATCATCCAATACTGCTTTATTATTAATTTCATATTTATTTTTGTTACAGAAGTGGGATGGTTAATGCCAAACCCGCGCCGAAAAGAAGATGATGCTATTTTTAAAGCGGTGTGTTGGTCACACAGAAATGTCCCGAAACTTTTCGTGATTCATTTCAGGATGAGCAAACTTTTCTGACTGTGCTTTTTCTCCCAGAATACCTGAACAAACGCAGTGAGGGAGAGTGTGAGAACCCATCTGTGGACGCACCGCCGAGCACAACGTGTTTCAAACGCCTAACTACAGGCCGGTGCAGCTGTTGGTCCACAGGTCAAAAACAGAGATTTTGACTATTTTCTGACATCTTATTGGCCAAACAATCAGAATTCAGCTTCATAAAAGAGTTCATAAACAGAGATTTTGACTATTTTCTGACATCTTATTGGCTTAAGTCAGATTTAAGCTTCATAAAAGAGTCAAAAAAAGAGATTTTGACTATTTTCTGACATCTTATTGGCTAAAAAATCAGTTTCAGCCACATGAAAGAGTCAAAAACAGAGATTTTGACTATTTTCTGACATCTAATTGGCTAAACGGTCAGATTTCAGCCTCGTGAACGAGTTGAAAAACTAACTACTGGCCGGTGCAGCTGTTGGTCCACAGGTTTCCTTGTTCTGTTCACATAAAAACGTGTTTTCCACCTACACTGCAGCGTCTCGGCGCGGTTCTCCTGGATCATGATGCAGAGCTGCAGCACCAGCTGCGGCGCGGACTCCAGGAAGGTCTCCAGCAGCCGCAGCATGTTCACGTCCGCGTACTCGAACATCATGGCCCAGTACCAGCGCCGCTGGTGCTCCCTCTGCCGCCGCGACATCACGCCCAGGTACAGCGTCCGGATGTACCTACGGGTAAACCAGAACACGCTTTATCCGCCGTCAGACTCCGGGCCCCGTCAGAAAGACACAGTTTGGGACATCGGGCACGTTGGATGAGGAAATCGAGACTATTTTGACTTGTTTTTTTGGCAAAACAATCATGATTCAGCCTCAAAACAGAAATTTTGACAATTTTCTGACATATAATTGGCTAAACAGTCAGAATTCCGCCTCATGAACGAGTTAAAAAAATAGATTTTGACTATTTTGAATGTTTTCTGATATCTTTTTGGCAAAATGGTCAATTTCAGCCTCATGAAAGAGTTTAAAAATAGAGATTTTGACTGTTTTCTGACATCTTATTGGCAAAACAATCAGAATTCAGCCTCAAAAACAGTGATTTAGATAATTTTCCGACAGCTAATAGGCTAAACAATCATAATTCAGCCTCATGAACGAGTTAAAAAACAGACGCTTTAACGGCCAGTCCACCGCCTGACTCCGTCAGAAAGCCACAGTTTAGGGGATATGTGGCACGTTTTGTGACATCGGGCATGTTGGATGAGGAAATTGTGGCTATTTTCACAGTTTTCTGACATCTTTTTGACTAAACAAACAGAGTCAGCCTCACGAAAGAGTTTAAAATGAGATATTTTGACTATTTTGCGACATCTTATTGGCTAAACTGTCAGATTTCAGCCTCATGAATGAGTTCAAAAACAGATTTTGACCTTTTCTGACATCTCATTGGCAAAACAGTCAATTTCAGCCTAATGAAAGAGTTAAAAAATAGATTTTTACTGATTTCCGACATCTAAACAGTCAGAATTCATAGATTTTTCTCAATTATGTGATCATACTGATGGTGAATACATCCAAACCTGCCTGGTCCACGCCCAGTTAACTGGTGCTATAAATATTTCCCGGCTCCAGGAGTGGTTTGAGCCTTTAATTGAGCCCCTCCGACAAAATGCTGATCTAAACACTCTGAGTGTGAGCAGAACATGGATGTGAGTCCAGCTGAAGCCCCCGGGGCTCATGAATGCCCCTCTGCACACGAGAACAAACTCTTACGGATCTCCACCCGTCTCTGCGTGCACGTGCACGTGCACGGGCCCCTGCATTATGCACGCCATTACAGTTTGAAAC